TAAATACTAAAAATACTAAATCAAACTGGCATAAGCTTCCAACTTAATAAAAAAACTCGAGTCCAAATAAAAAAAAATGAACTGTATGCCACAAAACGAAATTAAAGTTTTGATAAGACTCACCTCAACATCTTTTGAAGTTCGCTGAAAGTTGAAGTTGCTGAGGGTTCTTCCGGTGTTTCGGGTTCTTCTAGCGTTTCCCTATGTAAAAACGTATTAAGATTGTCAAAAATTCTCGAGTATCGAGGAAGGCCCCCATTGACAAATAATTCAAACTTACGCACACGGAAAAACAAAATCCCTTCTTTTAATCGTGTTTGGAATTATATTTCCATACCGAAATATAAACTTAGTGCCGATATCTAAAACTTACCTAGTTATGGATTCATGTCTTCCATTGGCCAACTTAGATTCTTCGGTGACGGGAGTGGAATTTTTCGAATGCAATTTATTCTCAATAGATTTTAAATGATCGATTTGACGAATGCTTTCGTCACTCGAAGATGCCGAAGTGAATTCATCCAAGTTTTTCGGCTTCTTCGGCTGCCGTCCACTTTTGGTAAATTTAGGTGCTCTCTTCCTATCATTTTTCTTTGAAGAGTCAATTGGATTCATCATACTGGAAATAATCGCTATAATATAATGATATTATCACGTATTACAAAGTAGGTACTGTTTAGCAAACTTATAAAAAATATTGCAACCATTGCTAAATAAAATCTAATGTTATTATTATTAATGTTAGAAACTTGAGTTATATGTGCGTGAAGGAAAATAACATTATCATTGAGAAACCGTTCCAATGATGTTTATAGTAACGTTGTGTCTAGAGTCGGTTGGTTATTCACCGAAATCTATAAAGCGTTATTTTGACAGAATACCCTCAACATTTAAATGCCTGTTATTTTTTTTTGTTTTTAAAATTTAGAAAAATTGTAAAATGCAATCAAAAGAGAGTTTTTTTAACAGTAAACCCTCAACATTTTTTAAAAGTTTGTACAATTATAATTTTTTGTTAGATTTCTGTGACAGAAACTCTGTCCAAACATAAATATAAATTATTTTAGGTAAAGTTAATTAGTTAATTCTGCACCAACAAATATGCGTACCAAATTGGATCCTTTGGCAAAACATGAAAATGCAACGATTTAGTTCTGAAATTACATTTACAATTAAAAACACAATAATTAACCATGACCATTTATATAAAATACACACTCTAACGATACTATAAGGTTTTTTAGTTAGTTTTGTTCTGTGACTTCTGCGCCCTGCAGTGGGTGTAGTCAAAAATAGATATTTAAATTATGGTTTCTTTTTTTATTTTCACTAGATGAATAAATCTTCTAGTGAAAGTAAAAAGAGGAATAATAAAACTACATTTTTGTAATTATTACTTTATTCGTCAAAGTTAAAAATATAAACGCAAATACTCAAAACACAACTTAAAATACGTCTCCATCATAAAGTTCATTATTTTTATCTGGACTGCGGCAACGTTGCAAATATAGGGGTTTGGTTGGTAAATACGGAACCAAAATTGGTTGCATCGATTAAAACCTTAGATTAAAACAAACTAAACTAGTCATAATGTAATTGTGGTTATGTTTAAATTATTGTGGGTTACATTGAACGGTTGTCAAGTTGAGTCGTCAAAATTCGTAGTTAAAAATGCAATTAATTTGGCTTTGGTGGTGCGTAGATGAGTAAAATCATATAAAAAAGTAGTTAAATATAGGTGACTAAGGCCCAGGAGAGACAAAAAGTATTTCTAGCGGATAATCATCTTCGCTTTGAAAAGAATTTATATAAAAGAAATTAAAATTTTATGTGAACACACGAGAATGTTGTTTTGAGTATTTTGTTAAAGCCACTGGACGTTAATACTTGTAGTGGCCTAATAATAATTATAATATATAAATTGTCCAGGACTATTAATAATCAGTAACTTACAAATTGAAAGAAGAAAAAGTTTAGTTATTATTGCTTATCTTTTTCAAACCAAATGGATGCTATTTTCAAAGACAGGAAAATTAACTACCAGATTTTTCACAAAAAGGTTGAACATATATAACAGCAAATAATTTTTGTTTTGTTTTTTTATTTCACCCTTATTTTTAAAAAATTCAAAAAATTTTGATCTGCTTAGCTGAAAATAATGTGTAATTTAATATTTGTAAAACCAAAAACGTTACTTTTTTACTCGAAAAACTTTTACTTACTTTTTCTGCCATTTAGGCATTTGGCATGACCCTAGGGGCATGACTTCATCGAAATGAAGTTTTGCCCTTAAAAGTTGTTTTACTTTAGAATCTGATATTATTTTTGGCATAGTTATCTTTTAAAAGAAAGAAATTTCTACCGATATTATACGATAATTAACAAGTAAATTATTAATAATAAATATTACTGTCAATTTGATTAATTGAGGCCTGTCATAGCAAAACCGACAATCTCCACTTTTGGTCAAAAATTAGATTTTTGGCGGAGACTGTACTTCACCTAATTATCTATAAGATGATAAAGTTTATGAGCTGCAAAAGGAGCTAAATCCTGCCTAAAATCCTATTTTAAAAATGACATTTAGTGCAAAGTCGACAATCTCCAACGATAGATTTGCAGCAAAGTATACAATCTCCAATTCCACCATTAGAAATTAGTAATTTGTGTCACCTAATTTTGTGTTTTTTTACTGGTACATACTGCTAAGTTCTATTGCAGTAAATTGCACTTTAAAATATATTTAAAATAGGTATATATACGTTTTATTGTTTTAAGAATTATAAAAAAAGTTATCTTGTTTATTTTGTGCTATTATACCAAAATAAGACCTAAAGGTAAAGCAAGAAAAGGCTGATAATGTCAAAACATTGCAAGTAAAACATTACGGGGCAAAGTGGAAAGTAGATGATGAGTTGTTGTACTATAAAAACTTTTTTGCATGAGGCAACCTGGTTCCAGATTTAGAAAAAACAGATTTATGTGGTCCAGTTCAAAATTTTCTCACATTGATTGTATAGTTAAATTTTATAACCATTAAAGGAAAAAAATACAATTATTTTTTTGTTTATTTTTCTAAGTCTCCTTAAACGTTTACAACAAAATGAGCAATCTCCAGCAATTCATATCAAAGTCAGCAATCTCCAATTTATAATTAAAGATTTCACCTATACCTACTATGCATCCTGGAGACCTTGAAGTTGGCTACTAGACTAACAACAACAATATTTCAATATAATATAATATTTTTTATATAAAAAATTACAAAACAGTATCAAAGGTTAAGGCGAAGCGAGTGGATGTGTAGTTCGAGCGCTCAGTGCCGATCCACAATAAAATTCTTAAAGAAACATAACTATTATATACAGTGTTGTCGAGTAAAGTACGGTGCGAAACAGTGCTACTATTTTGGGTTACTATAGTATGTATACATACCTGTTCAGGTGAAATCAGGGTACCTGTTCTCCGAGGGGTTAATAGAAACATTAAATAATTCCTCAAAAGGCAATCTCTCAACGGTGAACATAGGAGTGAGGTTCGTGCGGACACGAAGTAATAAAGTGACAGGGGACAGGTCAAGGAATCACCGATTTAAAGAAAAAACAAGTCTAACAAAGAGCGAAAGGGATCATCACCATCACCAGCCGACTCTGATAAGTATTATTGCATGACCTAATACGCAAATCTGTAAAAAAAAACCTGTCAACAATTAACCATTGCCGAAAACAGCGTACGTGGGTGAAAAGGGGATCAAGCAGGAACGTCGCAATATTATATTATTGTATTATATATATTGTATAATATACGCATCTTGTAGCTCAGCCACAAGGCAAAGCTTGAAGGATGGCGAATGTAAATAAACAAAGCGCCCACGCAATAACGCAAATAAACCATATATTGAAGCATACGTTACACTGGGCCGTATTTCAGATTTTAATGCGACGCACCACAGGGCCGGCTTTATTATTGTATTAATTTAGTTTTAAATTAAATTTGGAAAAAAAGTAAGAACGCAAAGACACAAATTAAATAATAATAATAAACGGGATAAACACTAATTTAACAACAAAATAAAAGTTCACCAACAAGGACAGGTTCTAGCAGCGGCTCAAAATACAAGAACAGCACAGAAGAAAGAAGAACGACCAATAGCCAATGCAGACCATAAAGGTGACATTCCACCACATACACTACAGGGCCGGCTTTATCGATTTTGTATATTAATATTTATATTTTGAAATTAAATTTGGAAAAAAAAGTAAGAATGCAAAGATAAATTAAATGAAAACGGTATAAACACTAATTTAGCAATAAAATAAATAAAGAGTATACAAGGTTGGTAGCCGGAGTAAGCAAAGAACTAACATACCCACCCCCATTCACGAATACCAATTGAATGGGGCTACTACTAAGGCCTAGGTTGAGGAGGATTCCGGATTGTACTTAGTTTTGGGTCAGTTCAATGTCCTCCAAAAACCCTTCCTAAACTGGACGTATGGCCCGACCCGGCTGACAAAAATCCCGGGAGCGGCCTTAACCTTTGACACTGTCATCCACGAACTCCTAGGGTGGATCTACCAGCCGGCGTAAAAACTTCGGATCCAACAAACACAGGTAATGCTGTGATTTGGCGGGATACGCAGGAGAACGGAAAGGGGGTAAAATAACCCCGGGAGATCAGTGGATGATAATATATCTGGGGCCTGCCATACGTTCCCATACTCATACTCATAAAAAATTACAAAACTAGAATTTAAAATACCAAAATAAATTATCTCAATTTACTCAGTTTTAGTCTGACGGGAGATTGTTGACTTTGCTCTTTTAAATACTAAAAATACTAAATCAAACTGGCATAAGCTACCAACTTAATAAAAAAACAGTCCAAATAAAAAAAATGAACTGTACTTACTATTACTTTTTGAAAGCATTTTGATGTTTTTTCTATATAAAATAAATAATTTGAAAATGGTAGATAATAATTTATTAACAATTATCAATCAATGATTATGATTTAAATGTCTTTTTAAATCACTTGCATGTGTGGTTTTAAAATTACAATGTTGGCAACAGTGTACTTTGGAAGTGATTAAATTTTGATTTGATTCATTTAATAAATCCGAATGTTTAAATAGAATGTGGTTGTCCACACTGGATTTTCTATTGCTTTGATATTGACAGAATAAACATTTCAATTGTTTTATTTGATTGTGATTTTTGATATGACTATTTAAATTACTTTTTAGGATGGTTTTATAGTTGCAAATATGACATTTATACCATCTCACATTTTTTAATTTCAAACAAACTTTTACATGTCTATCATAATGAGATTTAATAACAGTTGAATATGCACATTTCGGGCATGTATGTATTTTACTTGTTATTTTTATTTCATTTTCTCCTTTATTTTCCGACTTATGTTTGCTTAAGACGTGTGCATTTAAAGATTGTAATGTAGCAGCCTTATACTCACAAAAATGGCATTTTAAGTATTTTTTTCTGTTGTGCATATTTAAATGTGTTCTAAAATGATCTTTTCTTATAGTTACATAAGCACAGTTGTTGCATTTAAGTTTTCCCAGTACATCTTTTTTTGCAAGTAGTTTTTTATTTACAACGTCACTGTCGGTCCTAAAAAACATTTAATTTAAGTGAAAACTAAATTGATAGCATTGTGGGAATCCAAGAATTGTCAACAATACATTTAAAGCATACGAACTGCACATTATTTTTAAATAAATAAGTTATTTTTTACAAAAGACAGGAAGACAGAAGTTTCACTTGACAAATTTTGTTCGCAAAGTTTCAATTGCACAGCTAAATCTTGCACGTTATTTGTGTTTCGCATTGCAAGTAAAAACTAAAAAACTTTGGTTTAGTACTCGATTTCGATTTAATATTCCTTATATTATTGATTAAGAAACTCGTCGCTTATATGCTTATAGTTACGTAAGTGTGTGTATTTTATTTAAGTGATCATGGTGAAGTAGGAATGGTTTTTAATTGTAAATGTAATTCAAGGACTAAATCGTTGCATTTTCATGTTTTGCCAACGGATCCAATTCGGTACGTATATTTGTTGGTGCAGAATTAACTAATTAACTTTACTTACCTAAAATAATTTTTATTTGGGTTTGGACATTTTTAAAAAATTAGTAAAAAATAATTGTTGCACAAACATAACCTTAAAATCAAGCATTTTTATATTCTCTAAAAAACGACAAGTGCATTTTAAAAAAGTTATCGACAAAATATATTTACGATTAGGGAAACATTCCTAAAAAGTACAGGCCTCCAAAAGTATAATATTTACTAACCAAATAACGTTTAACTATTTATTTTTTTATAAAATTTTACTTTGTTTCAGGTTCTGTTTTGGGTGTTACAAGTACAAAAATTAAACACCTTATATGGAAAAAATCTGTGTTTTATTAGTCTCTAGGTACTACAAAATAAGTAAGTAACAAACATAACTACAATTAATCCTTCTTTAACGTTAAATTATAAGCTTCTTTCAAAAAAATAAAACTAAGTAATAACCAAACATAAATTAAATACAATCTTCTTTAACATTACATACACTTTTTCTTTGAAATAAATTTAAAACTTTTTTTTTTAACTGTTTTTCATTAACATCGACCCCACTTGGAAGCTCGTAATATGTACGGTCCCCCCTAATTTTTATCTTTGTTCAGGCCTCATATCCTGGAAATCTGATTTAGAGGTTCTGGCCACTATGGTTTGACACTTGTCTAAAACTTCAAAAAAGTGTTTCTTTTGGAGGTTTTCTATACTCTTTACATCCTCCCAGAGATCATTTAAATTTAATTAAATATAACGATTAATTAGCAATATCGTCCTTCGAAATGTAAATTAAGTGAATGCCAAGATTTATCTCTTTTAAATAGTCATACAAATCTTTTGCTGAAGTGATGTTTTCGTTGATTTCTTCCCAGTATTGGGATCTATGACACTTTTAAAATCTTTAATACCTCGGGCTTGGCGACTTACATCTTCTCTGTAAAAAAAATCATGACTTTATTCTTAGTTTCTTGTCCATTATCTTCTATGTTTATTTCCACCATATCACTAATGACTTTCTTTACCACTGCAGCTCTTTTCAATGGCGATTCGGGTAGTAGTGAATTTTTCTCTTTTCTAACCGCTTTTGCGAAAGTTTGTACGCATTTATATGATCCTATTGGAGAGTTGCAAATGTTGGAGGCCAATTTTTTCTTTTTAGCTCTGAACGCTCGCACACGGGCTTGCACTTTTAACCGTTGTTCAAGTTTTACTTCCTCATCCAGATCTAGCATTTCCTTTTGTTTTTGCCTTCTAATCGCATCCCTTTCCCTCTCTTTACGTAGGTGTTCAGCATATTTTTCATTGTCTTGTTTTCGTCTTACCCGCATTTTCGCAAGTCTTTCCTTTGTCGTGGAAGGCATGATGGTCTTCCTGAAAAAAACCATTACCTCAAACACACAGCCCCATGCATTGAAGAACCAAGGAAATATTAAGACTATTCCGACGGTCCACCAGCGCGCTGCAGCGCCTCCATTTACAGCTCTTTATTTAAGACATTTCAATAAATGTCCCAAATAAAGAGCCTCTTTAAAAGAGGTTGACTGCTTTTCCGATGGCGGCGCTAGTGGGCTGTCGAAAGAGCCTCAACAATAACACTGTAGGTAAATTTTTAACTTTTGAAATATTACAACTAAACGCTCGGACACGTAAACATAATTTTTGGTCGTAGAATCCAAATCCGTGCTCGGTTTAGCTGTATCATATTAGCTCTATACTTTTCTCCTGTGACAATATTTCCAATATTTTTGTAATTTACTTTAAATGTACAAATTATTTTGAAATAAATAAATATTATTATTATTATTATTATCAGGTCAAAAAAAGTTTTTCCTATTGGAAATTCGATCCGGGGACACACATACAGTGGTATATTATAATTTGTAAAATAATATAATTCACCTCTTTTGCCAACAGTTTTATGCTTTTTATTTCATTTAATATAATATCCTCAATTATACCAAATAAAAAAAAATCAGCAAAAAAACGTTTAAAATTTTCTAAATTATCTAAGAAAAACCCTTAGGGACACGTGTATCTTTTGATTAATTAACTTCAAATTTTGTAAGAATTTGTTATTTTTTAAATTTAGAACTGATGTGTGGGTCCCGCCAAATTTAATTAAAAAAAAAATTATACAGGGTTTATCGATTATCTTTGAATTTATACCTGATACAGCTAAACCAAGCACGAATTTGCAATCTACGATATTTTCACCTCCCTACAGTGTAATCAGTGTTGCCTGTAGGAAATTTTTGAATAATGGACAGAAACATCGATTTTTCCCTTTTTGCGAGTGACATTTTTTCTTAAAAATGCGATAACTTGGCCAAAACTGTTTCGATCGTTACAATTTTTTTTTTAATGGTAGATAAATATTTACTACATACAGAAAAAATATTAAAAATTAAGTGAATTTACTCAATTTTTTTTTAAATTGTTTTTTCTAAGGCAAAAAAAATTGAGGTCTAAATTTGGACCATTGCCACATTTCTTTTTTACTTCATATTTTTTTGTTTGAAGTTGATTTTATAAACAATTAAATTCGTCGTTTCGGAATTATTATTTTTTAAATGAAAATTCCACTTTATCGCAAACTGGGGTGACCTTTTTAAAGTGCAATTTAGAACTTTTGACATATTTAACATATTTTTGTCAATTTTGGTTTCACCGGAAATGCTCTTAAGTATCGCCGACGGTGGTCTAGTGGTTAGTGCTGCTGACTTCAAGCCGGAGGTCGTGGGTTCGAATCCCACCAGGGGTATGGCTGTTTATTTGTGTTTGTCCTATTGTGTAATAGTCCTTCGGAGGGGACTTTAAGCCCGCGGTCCATTCCTACCCCTAACCCGCACAAGCCATTCAGTTGGCTTATGGGACTTCTTAAGAAGTAAGGGTGGAACTAAAAGAGCACTTTTGTATTTTAAGTAAATTAAATTATTACACACAATGCCATGTGACAATGGTCATTCAGCCAGTTCACTTGAGTACAGATTTTGAACACTAATTAACTTAAAAATTAGACGTTTCTTCTAGTTTTTTTTGTCGCACATTATAATTTGGAATGTTTTCTTTCAAAATTCATCACATTAAATGCGAAAGGAACATATTGATTTATTTTTTCATCTTCAGTATCATTTGTCATGGAATGACCCATATAAAATTGTTACCATGAATTCGTAGATATTTTCTGTCTTTTCCTATTGAAAATTGCAGTGGTCGGCGTTTTTTTAGAGGAATCAAGTATAAAAATGTTTGATTTTAAGGTTATGTTCGTACAATTATTATTTTGTGTTATATTTCTTAAAAATGTCCAAACTTAAATATAAATTATATTAGGTCATCATATTTAATCATAAAAACATGATCAAGTTTCAATCATATTTCGTTAAGGTTCAATTATCAGGTTTTAATGAAATATTTAGGCTCAATCTTATTTGATCAGAATTGATCAGGTTTTAAACTGGATCATTTTTGGTCATGAAAACATGACAGAGTTTTAATCCCATTTTGTAAGTTTTGATACTATAATATACTTTGGTATTTCTAAACTTTAATTGGTTTATTAGACATTTACCACATAAGTATAAAATGACAGACGTCAAATATGACAGATGTTAAAAATGATAATTTTTGATAATTTGTCTCTTGTTTTCGCGATCAAAAAGGATCAAGAGTCGATCCTGTTTTCATTATTAAATAGATTTGAGTTTGAAATTTCAATACTTTTTGATCATGGAAACAAGTGACAAAAACCGCCTGAAAAAATAATGTGGGAAAAATTAATTTTTTTTGTAAATTTAAAAAATACATAAACTTTAATAAAAAGCATTTTTTATGTTATTTATTTATAAATCAATACTTTATTTTTACTTGGTTCCTAACTTTTTTAAATCCGATTTTTGCGTTGCACGAAAAAAACAATAAAAATAGTTTAAGTTTTCTTTTTAAATCTTCAAAACATCACAAGCATTTTGCTCATGCTTATTTATCTCATATTTTCACTCATGTGGTATTTTTTGGAATTTTTTATTTAATTAGCATAAATTCAAGTTACTTTATGGAACTATTGACAAATAATGTCAATCACAATTTTTAATACCTAATCAATAATACAAAATCGTAAAAAAGGGGTTTAAGGCACAAGACATCTTCAATGTCAATTAAAAGTATATCTCACCTTGATTCCTCATCAAATTTAACCCCATGATAATCCTCCTCAAAGTCACTGTCTCTTTCTTCTTCCTTAATATTGCATGTTAAAAGGTCACTTTCATCTACATGATCAGGATAATCACAGTAACTTTCTTCCAATCTAAAATTAGGGATGGGTATAATTAAAATTAATTAATTAATAGTAGCCAGGGAGGTAGCAATAGTTTTCGTGAAATTCAGTAAAATTAAGGTAGGTCCAGTCACTTTCAGTGGAATTGAATAATATTGAATATATACAGTCCGTTCAGGCTAAGTTGAGCGCTTTGGTGGGGATCATGTGGCCGTTGATTAAATTAAATATCGAATCGTCGCGAGATTTTGGTAATAAGAAGATGATTTATCAGTGCCGCGGCTTGTCGTTTGTTCGTACAGAGCGGCTACCGAAATACATGTATTTAATTGTGCCTGAACATAGAGATGATGAACTGGGTGACATTCCTTAGACCGCTCAACTTAGCCTGAACGGACAGTACTGTACATGTTACAACATGTCAACTGTCAAACAACTGTTGCCATGGTGATAATAAAATAAATAGGAAAATGCTTACCCTTTGTCAAGCAACATTTCTTCTTTGCCTTCAAATTTCACTTTAACTTCTTCATCTCTGGATGTTTTTAATCCTTTTTTCACCTCCAATTCATCATCATCCATGGGGTTGTCATAATTATTCAATTCCTCTTTGCTTTCTTGTTTTATTGCTATCTCAGAGGTTGAAGGAATTTCTTGGTCAGCAGAGGTTGGTCTTGATTTATTGTAATTCATCAAAATATCACCTACAGAACCATCAACTGGTTCTTTGGGTTCTTTTTTAACGATTATTGGCTCCATTGTGTATGGAAACTCTACTGCCTATATTTAATGATAAAAGAATAGTTGCAAGCTGTAAAAAACAATACAAAACCTTTATAAACCCTCAAACAAAGAATTTAATGTATGTTTACTTACCTTGACAGGGTTTTTACACCGAAAAATAAGTTTCGCCCATAGTTTGTAAGAAATGAGCGCCAAACCCTACAGAACGCAAATTAACGTTTTGTATTTCGTTAATTATTTGGCGTACAAAATATTGAATCATATGAATATTAATCTGGATTCAATATTCAAACAAACACGTGTAGAAGCATTAAATTTTTTATACGAATAATTTACAAGTTCCCTAGACAAACAGTATAGGATAAATCATAACAAACACTATAACCATATAACAAATAACAACTACCTATAACCTGGTCAACCTTTATAATCTGTGCTGGTCAATGCCATAACCAGGGTGGCCATAACTATAGTTATATTTTGATATTAGAATCAGTGTTTCCAATGGGATATTGATATTTTTTTCCTCTACAATAACAAAAGTCTCCGATTATCTATCAAATTATCCTACAATCAAAATAGTGGAGAATTCTCTACCTATGGGCAACACTGGTTTTAGAACAGCTGTTCTCTGTTACGGTGTTGCCAACTTCACAACAGACAATTAAAATATTTTTTCTACTCCCACCTTTTAATTTCGCCGGCAGTAAACTAGTTTATAGCTATAACTTAAATTCGGGCACGGACTCTACTGTAAAGTCCTCATTAAACATTGCCTTTACTTTCACTGTGAAAAACTGTCAATTTTCAAGATACATTTGGATTTATAACCTTTATAATTGTGTTTATAAAATGTAAAAATGTAACATTTGACAGTTTCTCCTGTTGTTTCATAGTTGGCGCTCTATACAAATTTTTGATTTTAATCATTTTAAGATAATAATAAGTATTTGTCGTAGAAAAAGTATAGTATGCACCTCGTTTATAAACTTTTCTATACACTCATTAACTTAAGCACTCGCTCGCAAGCTCGCTCGTGCCTAAATTAAATTCATGTATAAAATATCGTTTATCAAACTTGATACATAATATACTATTATCTAGGCAAACAACTTGTTGTTATCTTCGCTCTGAAATCTAAATCGACCGACTCAATTGAGTTTTACGAAAAGAGGAAGACGAAAAGACATAAAAAACAAATTTGCCATTTACTTTCTTCCCTCGTCTAAGGGCTAGACTTGGTGTAGAGTCGCCAACCTTACCGAGATTTTGATAGGCTTTGTTATCTATGGATCTGACGATTTCTAAATAATTTAAGCAATTAAGCCTGATTTATAGATTGTCTTCCTTCCTTCCTCCCGTAAAATATGAACAATAAGAAAACCGTAGTGCCGTTTATAGATTCCTGTACGGGATTTTATTATTCATCATCTACGGGAGAAAGGAAGGCAATCTATAAATTAGGCTTTAACGTTAGTTACATGTTACGTTACGTTAGCAATTTGTATAATTTTTTTAGTTAATCTTTATTTACTGAAAATATTTTATAATTATTTTTAAAATTTTATAATTATTTTTAAAATTGTCCAAAAAAAAATTTGAATGGTGTCGGAAACGCCAACCGCGAGGCCAGCGAAAACGCAAACTGAAAGTTTATGAATCGCGAAGCACAAAAATGACACGTCTCAGCCGAATGGCATATAACATTTTATCTACTCCTACCACGGTCTTATATACAGGTCTTGCAACTTCGCCCAATTTCAATAGGAAAAGTGACCTCTCTAATGAGACACCCACCAGAATCTGGATAGCGCATCGAGTTATGGATAAACCATAGATGTTTAAAGGTCGTTTTTACCTTCTTTATCTTTGGGGTTTACAATCGTTAGATAAGCTCTCTGGTGGATAATTTTCTTAGATAGAAGGTTTCTATAAAAGTTATTCGCCAAATAAGCTAACTTAATCTAACGATTGTAAAACCGGCTCTTAAAGTCTATGGGATAAAAGGTCAAATGAACTACCTACTTATGTTCTGTGAAGAAACATAACCTACATTTTTATAAACAAGCTTGTGTATTTTGTTACAGGGAGTTTTTACTTATTAATTAACACCAGTGGCTTTTCGACATTTTACGTCACGGGCTGAAGTAAGCTTTATTATAAATTGGAAAAAAGTGAGGTTAAATTCGGGTGACAGTTGACAGATGTCTAAATTTTAACAAATAAAATTGGCTTTAAATTCTGTTTTGTGTTCGTCGTAGATAAAGTATATTATGCAACTCGTTTATAAACTTCTCTAGACACTCGTTTTTATTAAACACTCGCTCGCAAGCTTGGCTCGTGCTTAATTAAACTCGTAACTAAAATGGCGTTTATAAAACTTGATACATAATATACTATTATCTTCAAGGCACACTTTTATTTGTCAAACGATACATAAAACGTATAAAATAAGGTTAGATAGGTCATAGCTGGCAGTAGCTAGTTATTAAATTGTTTGATTGGCCTAAACAAAGATATCCTCTATTGATAAGCTATGACATTTTATAAAATATAGTCACGGGCCGAAGTTGGCAACAGTGACTTTTGGGCATTTTAGTCACGGGCTGAAGTTAGTTTGGAGCGTGGGAAAAAGTGAGGTTAAATCCGTTGACAGATGTCAAATGTTTAACCATAGAAATAGAGTATTATTTCCATGTGTTTAACAAATAGTTATAGTATCTTGAAGTCTCCTGCAGTTTTCTGAAGTTACCTTCAAGTTAAGTTGTATAATCTGTGGTTAAAATTGGAAAAAAGTGAGGTTAAAGTTGCTTGCAGCTGTCAGATAAAATATCAAATAAAATTGGTTTTAAAGTTTAAATTCCCTGCCATAGTTGACTATTGGTCAAAGGAGAATCCACTCGCGTGTTACCGAACTCGCCACGCTCGTGAAATTCTCTTTCTCTCACTAGTTGGCAACTAGTAGTTGCACAATATATTATTGTCCCACACATTCACGTGGAATCAAGACATTATACGCTCGAAAACAATTAACAAAGTAAGCTATTGTTACACTAGTTGAAAATATTTTTTCAATAGTGGAATAATGAAAAAAAGACAATTGTAAACAATTAATTAAATTTATTTTTTACATACAAATGATACATATGTATGATTTTAAACATAGTTTGCATATTTGGAATTAAATATTATATTAAAGGAGTCCAAATTTCATGTATACAAATATATTTTGGTAATAATTGTAAATAAAATTAAATTAGGCACTTCCCTGCTGTAAATATTACAGCAGGGAAGTGCCTAATGTAATTTTATTTACAATATTAAAATACCACTGCTAAAATGGATTATACAATTCAACGTAAAAATATATTTTGGTATTTTAGAAAGCTATAGCTTTCTAAAATCTCGAAACTAATAAAATCCTTGACATTTTGCATGTTTCAACATGTCAACTGTCGAACAACTGTTGCCATAGTGATAATGCAATAAATAGCAACAATGCTTATGCTTTGTCAATAAACATTTCATCTTTAGCTTCAAATTTCATTATGACTTGCTTAGCTTCATCAAAATCATATTCTTTATCTGTAAACAATTCTAATTCTTCTTTCTCCCCTGATTTATTGTAGTCCATGAAGTTGTTGATATCATCAAATTCTTTTTTAATTTGTTTTATTGCCATTTCAGAGGTTGAAGGCTTTTCTTGTTCTGCAGAGGTACTTGGTTTATTGTCATTTAACAAAATATTACCTTCAGAATATTTGACTGGGTTTTCAGGTTCTTTTTTAACAACTATTTGCTCTACACTTGCTTCTTGATCATCATTCTGTCTTGGATGCTGTTGTGTCTTATGGTTTGTTCTGTGCTTATGCCTTTGCGGCGAAAGACACCCATGCGTACTAATATTGTACATTATCCTCTGGATTGTAGCTACACTGGGTATAGGCCTATTTTGAAACATATTTTGAAATAAATTTTGTATTTGGCGATACGATCTACCAGTGTGATGCCATACTACAATTTGGTATTTTTCCTCGCGTGTAAAAACCATTTTATTCTTACAAAGACTTACGCAAAGTCTCAGTGCACTTCTCAGACTGACCACCATAGAAAAAGTATATACTGACCACAGTCTGTGTTGCCAGTAGTTGAAAAAATAAAGTACCAAATTCGACTTTTAACCATATACCAGTGTTGCCACCTATAACTTTTTTTTCGTAATAGACGCATGCGTCAAAAAGTAATAGATTTGGGATTTAAGCATAGATTTAAGGTCATCTATGATTTAAGGTAATAGCATTGAGTAACTTCTTTACTCAATGGTAATAGACTATTTTGGATCAAATTTTTTTGATTTTTTGACGTTTTACCGTTGTCATTAGAAAAAAATTGAATTTTTACATGATGCTTATGCTATTTTAATAAAAGCTTTATAAACACAAATTTAAACACACAACAAATGTCAAACACTCAAGCAGTGTTGCCAGACGTACGATAATTTTCCATAGAAAGAATAATTATCCTTTTTATACGATAATAATTATACGTACGTAAGTACAATGTACGAAATCACATGTAAGATAAAATTAAAATGTACAATAATTTAATGTAAATCAAATTGCACAAGGGAATAAAACTACCCAATATTAACAAAATCTTAAATTTTGGATAAACAATAAGTTTATTTTAATTAAGTCCATATTTTTTATTTTTTTTTTAAATAATAAATTTAAAATACAGTGTGTATTAAAACGAATAGATACACTTAAATAAAACAAGTGCCAAACCACGCCCACTGTGGTAGGGATTGAATTTGTATCATTGTCGTATGATCTGTGCGCAGTGTTGCCAGCGTCAGTACGTTTGTACCGAATTCAGTACTTAAAAAAAGTAAGCAAGTACCTCGTTGATGGTTTTCGGTACGTTTTCCAGTTTTAGATTTTTTCCCCTTTATTTAAATAAAAATTAAAAGTTTAGGTTGGTGATACTGAGTTATTTTAGTATCCTGGTATTTTAAGTTTTAAACTGTTGGTAGCGCGCGTTGTCTACTTAGTGTTGACATAAGGTTTGTTCCGTTCGCCAAGAACCGCTCATAGGAATAATAGGAATTATTGAAGCCAAATACCTCAATCTTTGTTAAAAAAGAAAATTAATTATCGATAGGTAAACTATTTTTTAATTTTACCAACAATATTGTTTTTTTGTATAGGTATAATAATAATTATCTATTTTGTTCTTTTGATGTTTATAGTTTATTTATGTGCATGTGTTTATTGATAAATTACAAAATAAAATTACGTTCATATAAGTTTAATATTTATTTCTCAAAGTCAGTACGTTATCTTTCAAATTCAATAAGTTTTTATTGCCATTTCAGTACTTTAATTTTTCTACTACTGGCAACACTGTCTGTGCGTCAGTTTAAGAAATGCACTGAGACTTTGCGTACGTCTTTGTAAGAATTTAAGTATTTTCTCAAATAAAATGGTTTTTACTCGTGAGGAAAAATACCAAATTATGGTATGGCATCACACTGGTAGATCGTATCGCCAAATACAAACTTTATTTCAAAATATGTTTCAAAATAGGCCTTTACCCAGTGTAGCTACAATCCGCGGCATGCCGCGCTGTTGCCATATGCTATTATTGTTTCCTAAAAGGGTTGTTTTTCTTATTTTTTAATATTAAAAGTAAGAAAATTAACTAAATCAAATTATTTTTGAAATAATATTAATTTTTTTGTTATTTTCAAAGTTTCAAACAAATAAAATTGAACTATTTATTAAATAATTATAATCGTACTGTTCTGATTTAAAACAACCTGGCAACTATGGTTCGTAATTACGAATGGCTTGGTTTAAACCACGCCCAATTAAAGTCTGTTTCTTTTCCTCTGATCAGAATATAATTTGTCATCCTTGTCTCCAGCCTTACTTACTTGATTCTATACAGTCTGTATATAACAAGATTTAAAACACTTATATTAGAAAAACCAAGAAAAATTTAATTCTACAATAGTTTTGATGCGTTGCGACAATAATCTTTTGTGGGATGTCTAGCAAGTTGCCAGTGGCAACAATAGGAGCACAATAGAATATTTTAAAAAAAATCCTACTAGGAAAGAAAAAAGTAATAGATTTACATCGTTTCGTAATAGGGTAATATATTTTCGCTAAAAGTAACAGATCTATTACTTAAGTAATAGGGGTGGCAACCAGGGTTGGGTCAGTAGAAAACCTTAGGTAATTTACCTTGGTAGAAAAGGGTAGAAAACTTGTTTTCGACTTGCGTCGAAAACCTATAGGGATTTCTACCTACGTAAATTACCTTATTCGACCTTCTCCTTCCACTTCTCTATAATTGATAAAAATTTGCCCTCATGCCAAAAATTATGTTGGGGTCTCCCAACCAAACGTGGCCCTTTTTTTCCCACCATAATAATGTTTAAAAACTCCAAATAACTTCAAATTTATGGTAGGTGTCTGATTTTTCACAACATTTAACAAATCATAATAAACAAACTTGCATAACCTCACATTTTTTGATATTTGACAGTATTCTACTTTTTTACGTTTTCTACCGTCGAAAACGTCGAAAAAGGTTTTCTACATGTCGAAAACAAAAATGTAGGTAGATACCCAACCCTGGTGGCAACACTGCCATATACTTACCACACATATACTTACTTGGTAGAGGTGGAGAACTATCGATGGCAACTATCGGACTATCGATAGTTTAACCACTATCGCCATCTATCGATAGTCAGAGGAATTTGAACGATAGTCACCGAAAATCGCCCGCTAAAAATTCATCGCCTTAAAGTTTCTAATTTTAATATATCATATTAAATATAATTAAAAATAAAAAATATTAAAAAAATAAGTAGAAAGTCACTAAATTTTAATTAAGAAAGCAACCTTTTTTACCGACTACATGACATTTGCTGTGCGTCCGTTTGTGCGAGCATAACACAGAGGTTTTCTATGGGTATATGCGTGCAAGGGGTTCCCAAAAGTGTTCGTGATACTCGACCTGTGATTTATTTTTGTTTATTATTCCCCCAATATTAAATTTAAAACTATCGATAGTACTATCGATATTATCGATGGTGTTAGAATCGCACTATCGATTAATCGTAACCCAGCACTATCGATAATTCTCCACCTCTATTACTTGGTAAGTATATGCAATTACCGTGTCATTGGCAGCACTGCCCAAAAGACTCTCGATTTTGACAGAAAATTCCCTAAAAATGTTTTTAGGGGTATTTCAGCCTTAAGCTTCGTACAGACCTGAACATTGAGCCGAACAACAAGCAGAACAACGAACCGAACGGCAAACAGAACGGCAAATGGCCTTTTTTGATTTCGACGATCCGAACAACAAACGGAACGTTCGTGCTGTTCCCATAAATGCTCGTAGTAAATCTTAGTTAAAGTTTTACTAAAGATGGAAAAAAGTGTAGCAGCAGCAGCTTATATATATATTCATTATTAAATCAAAAGAAAAAATCGCGAAAAACAAGAAGATGGTGGCAAACCCATTTTTATACACAATTTAGTAAGTGAATTAAAGTTTCAAGCTGTGAGTGGGCATTACAAAAATTTTACGAGGATGACACCTACCGACTTTGAGTATTTATTAAACAAAATAGTCCCGAAAATTGAAAAACATAACACTGTCCTAAGAAAAGCAATATCAAGTCAAGATAGATTAGCAGTAACCCTTAAATAAACAAAGTCACTTAAAGGAGGAGACAAATAAACACTTAAATGAGAACAATTCACTGGTCTGTTCGCCGTTTTGTTTTGACCCGTCCAAACCTCCGAACGCATTCGCGAGCATTTCCTTTGATGTCGAAGAAAAAAGCCTCGTACAGACTTGAGCATTGAGCCGAACAACAAGCCGAACAACGAACCGAACGGCGAACAGAACACTAATTTGGACGGGGCTGCGAACGCGTTTGCGAACATGTTCGCGAATCCTGACCGTTCGGCGAACGGTTCGCCCCGTTCCCATCACTTGTCGGTTTTTTCTTCGACATCAAAGGAAATGCTCGCGAATGCGTTCGGAGGTTTGGACGGGTCAAAACAAAACGGCGAACAGACCAGTGAATTGTTCTCATTTAAGTGTTTATTTGTCTCCTCCTTTAAGTGAGTTTGTTTATTTTAATATAATTAAAATTCAACACAAGTCATCCTCGTAAAATTTTTGTAATGCCCACTCACAGCTTGAAACTTTAATTCACTTACTAAATTGAAATTTGTCGTACTTCTTTGTGTATAAAAATGGGTTTGCCACCATCTTCTTGTTTTTCGCGATTTTTTCTTTTGATTTAATAATGAATATATATATAAGCTGCTGCTGCTACACTTTTTTCCATCTTTAGTAAAACTTTAACTGAGATTTACTACGAGCAATTATGGGAACAGCACGAACGTTCCGTTTGTTGTTCGGATCGTCGAAATCAAAAAAGGCCATTTGCCGTTCTGTTTGCCGTTCGGTTCGTTGTTCTGCTTGTTGTTCGGCTCAATGTTCAGGTCTGTACGAGGCTTTAAATTTGATATTTGACAAACATTTTTAGGGAATTTTCTGTCAAAAATCTTTTTCTAATCTATGTCTTTCGGGGACAATGAACTTTGTAATACAAATATACTGCTAGAAATCATGATACAAATATAAAAATAAACGGTTTGTTTCAGAAAGTTTTTATAATCTGTTTTACACTGCCAAGCATGGAAAAAGTATTCTATATTTGATATACCCATTCTGTGGTAGTTGAATTTCAATGTACAATGGAGCAAATAGTCGTTAAAAAGGAACCTGAAGAACTAGTCGACGATTCGGAAGGTAATATTTCGATGAATTACAGTAAACCAAGTACCTCTGCTGACCAAAAAATGCCTTCAACCTCTGGGATAGCAATAAAACAAGAATTCAAGGAAGAATTGGTTTATAGCGACAACTCCATGGACTATGATGTATTGGGGGTGAAAGAAGTATTAAAAGCGTACACAGATGAAGAAGACAATTTTGATGGAGCCGAGCAAGCAGAACTGAAATTCCAAGTCAAAGAAGAAATGTTTCTTGATAAAGGGTAAGCATTGAATTGAATTCTGCAAGTGTATCTGTTTTTTTTCAAAATTGTTTTGATTGTAAAAAAATAATTTAGTTGATAATGACAAAAAGGATTGTGGAAAAAATGGTCACTGTATACCTATAATTGTTTGAAGTTCCCTTTTCCCTTTTGACAAGCAAAAAAAATATGATTATTTATTTATTCTCCTACTCACTACACTCCAACACTCTTGCATGTAATCAGATATATATATTAGGTTGTTTAAAAAAAATCGACTTTTTCTTTTTCTTCAAATGGTCAGCAAATTCTTTCAGAGGATGTCAAAACAAAGACCTCGTTAAAATTTGAGCTTTTAATTTGAAGATTTAGAGGTCGCGGATCGCAATTTTCTATTTCCCATTTAAATAACATAGGAAATTTTTTTTTTAACTTTGGAATTTTATATGTCTATATCGAATCAACTTATGGCAAGGAACATCTTAGATTTTTATAGTAAATTTAACGCTCTCTAAAAAATGTCTCTTATAATTTTTCTATAAATTGATTTCTTCCAGAGTTATTCGAGGCCAAAGTTTGATTTCCATCGAATTTTCTCGTTTTTTCAACTTTTAGCATCATGTAGTAAAAAAATCACATATTTATATCTGAAACATAGGAAGTGTTGTAAAAAAAACAAAAAAACGTCACTTTTTTCCAAAGCCTACTACAAAGTTTTAATGAAAATATGAGATGTGTATAATATGCAAAGTAATTTATTTATAAATGCATTTTTCTCGAAAATGGTGCATCTGAGCAATTCAAATCAAGAGTACCTATTTTTCGTAAAAAACTATAAATTCTCATAATTTCATAAAAAAAATTAAATTATTAACCCAGAAAAAAGTTGGGGCTATTTTTGTAACTTTGCCCCCTCCAAATGTTACGCCTATGATTAAATTTTAACAGTTTTGATCATAGATCTAGATTCAGCATGTCAAAATTACCAAAGTACCTACCAAAAATTCATTTGTTCATGTTCAACCCTCTAGGAATAGTTTAAAAAAAATTATCCTCTTAGGCTCCTATTCAGGGGGCCGTAGCTCCTTTAGGGAGCATTTTTTGATAAATGTTTATTAAACAAAAAAAGTGTTATTTTTATACGAATAATGCACTGTTTAAGTTTGGCCCCCTGATTTCGGGACCCCCGTATAATGATAATTGTACCATAAATGTTAAAAAAACGCGAAAATTCGATGGAAATCAAACTTTGGCCTCGAATAACTCTGGAAGGAATCAATTTATAGAAAAATGATAGGAGACCTTTTTTGTAGAGCGTTAAATTTACTATGAAAATCTAAGATGTTCCTTGACATAAGTTGATTTGATTCAGACGTATAAAATTTCAAAGTTAAAAAAAAAAATTCCCATGTTATTTAAATGGGAAATAGAAAATTGCGATCCGCGACCTCTAAATCTTCAAATTAAAAGCTCAAATTTTGACGAGGTCTTTGTGTTGACATCCTCTGAAAGAATTTGCCGACCATTTGAAGAAAAAGAAAAAGTCGATTTTTTTGAAACACCCTAATATATAAACATATAACATATAACATATAACATATATGTTACGGCTAATGTGCAAATGGTCAAAAATGAGGTAAAAAAACCCATACCAACCCAAACTCAACAACACAACCCAACCGACCCCGCCCCATTGGCCCCCCGCCCCATTGAGCAAAAAACCCAACTAAAATGGGAATAGCCAGAGAATTAGTTGGTTAGTTTACAAACTAGCTAAAGCTTGGCTATTTTGTGTTACTAGAAATTTTGGTTTTCATATTAGCCAAATTGAATTGGTTAGTATACAAACTATCCAGCTATTTTAGTTTCCCTAATAATTTCAAGTAAATTAGCCAAGATCCTTGGTTATTTTGTAAACTAGCCGCTAATTTAGTTGAAAATACATTTTCAATTAAAATAGCTGACAGTTTGGCTAGTTTATAAACTTAATCCTACAGAGCCTTAAAACTAAATAACCTTCCAATTAAAAAAATGTCTGGATATCCTTGGCAGTGGTAGGTATTAAAAAAATCAATATCACAATTGCCCTGCACCAACATATAATTAGTATTTTTTGTTACTTGTCTTTTTTTAATGGACATAAATAAAGCATAATATCAAAGAGAGACTTTATCACTGATCATTAGATATAGTCGTCTCGGCGAATGTTTTCCGTTGCGTCATCAATTTAAAATGTCGAAAACCTGTTTTTCGCTAAAGTCCGGCATACATACCACATTCGTATGCAAATTGTAATGCCTCTGCTTGGTTCACAAACTGATGACGTAGCGGAAAACATTCGCCGAGACGACTGATTTATAGATTGCCTTACTTCCTTTCTTCCTTCCTCCCGTAAGAGATGAACAATACGAAAACCGTGGTGCTGTTTATAGATTACCGTACGGGAATTTGTTCTTTATTATTAAAAATGCTACTTAACCCCTTCATTCACTTGCCCCTTCAATCATAAACATAAAAATATTTCATTTTTAATTTTTTTAGACAAATTTATCTCAGTGTAGGAATATAAAATTAAATAAGAAAAAATTGAACCCACACCTCGCCAAAGTTTTTTGTTTTGAGTGCGTTCCATGAACTTCAAATACCTCATCAGTGTCGGGCAACTTGGTGTAGTGGAACACACTCAAAACAAAGGACTCCCTGAGCTTATATGCTCGGTTGGTAAGCCAACAGAGGCGAGATGTAAGAACATCAGGTGATCCACACCGTCAAACAAAAAACTTTGGCGAGGTGTAGGTTTAATTTTTTCTTATGTATATTACCAGTTTCTTAAAGAAACTAAGAAAATTGAATGTAAAATTAAATGTTTTTGTAGGAGCGACAGTGCAGTTATAAATAAAGAAATAGTGACAAAAGAAGAAAATGGTAAGTGTTTTTGTTTTCAATTTAAACTTTTCTTACAGGGCCTGGCACGTTTTGCCTTTTGCCGTTTGGTTAAAAGTCTTATTTTTATTTTGTATATGGGTCAGAATTTCTCAAACGGGCCACCTGAATTAGGTCAAAATTAGTTTTTGATTGTAGATACATTTTTTCGATAGTATTTTACATCACTAACACAAATCCTAAAGGATTTTGTAAAAAAAAAATTTTCAATTGACATATTCATGATATTAAAAGTCAAAGTTTTTAATAATTAAAAAATAAAAAAATTCATTATGGCTGAACTAATTATCCGATTCCAACGATATAACTAGCGTTGGAATCTTGTTTTGACATAGATTCTTTGTTATTTTTTTCAATTGTCCTATTTTCATTTAGGTCGATTTTTTTTTGTTTTTTTTATACCAAATTCGGAAATAATTGCCTTCTGCGCCAGCTATCGACTCGAGAAAAAAAACACATATACTCCAATCATTTCTCGAAATTATGCTGCTGAGAAAAAAAATGGCCCGCAGGTTGACAAAAAGTTATTCGTCCTTTTGTCGCCGCGCGCGGTGTCAGCTCACGCTCCGAACCGTGTACGCTATACGCGCTTGTGACGCGACGTCTTACGGTGGTCTGGAACCTGCGGGCCATTTTTTTTCTCAGCAGCATAATTTCGAAAAATGATTGGAGTATATGTGTTTTTTTTTTCGAGTCGATAGCTGGCGCAGAAGCCAATTATTTCCGAATTTGTTATAAAAAAAACAAAAAAAAATCGACCTAAATGAAAATTGTACAATTGAAAAAAATAACAAAGAATCTATGTCAAAACAAGATTCCAACGCTAGTTAAATCGTTGGAATCGGATAATTAGTTTAGCCATAATGATTTTTTTTTATTTTTTAATTACTAAAAACTTTTACTTTTAATATCATGAATATGTCAATTGAAAATTTTTTTTTTACAAAATCCTTTAGGATTTGTGTTAGTGATGTAAAATACTATCGAAAAAATGTATCTACAATCAAAAACTAATTTTGACCTAATTCAGGTGGCCCGTTTGAGAAATTCTGACCCATATTTTATATTGAAACAAATTTGATTTCATTTCACTCAGCTCCCACACAGACTTTTTTTAATTTTTTTCTCCTAAAAATACTTCATTTTAGAACAAATATATTTTTTTATTTTCAAATTAATTTAATACAAATTAACTTAATACAATATAGCACTAAAAAATGTTGTTTAATTTTTTGGATTTATACTATTTATGTTCAATATAAAAAGTTTACTTTCTCTTAAAAACTCTGAATAAGACTTTTTAAGTCGTAAAAATTCAGATTATGTGTAATAAGAAACATAAAGACACATGTAGAGGAGTTTTCAAATCAAACGATCTACTGACAGTTGCAGGAATTTATATTTATGAATTGCTAATTTTTATGTTTAAAAATAGATGATCTTTAGATTATATTTATACTAGACATTGTTTAATGAGTTATGAAAAGTCTTGTTTTTATTTATGTAGGTATATAAAATGTTTTAACAAATTACCTTAACATTAAATATTTTAATATTTTAAAAAACGTGTTTTTGAATATTTTTTGTCAATTGAGCCATACACTTACAATGAGTTTTTACTTACATTAAATTATGTTCACCCTTTTATTATTAGGTAATTTAGTTTTAAATAGTGCTCTGCTTTTCACTCTTCTGACTTAATAAGTCTTATTCAGAGTTTTAAAGAGAAAGTAAGACTCTTATAGTTATTAAAACTTTTTATAAAAATATATACAGCATAAAAATGTGATTTAAAATCATTTTTGTTTTTTAAAATTGGTTAATATTTGTGGAAGATTTAACCTTATTACCACACTGTTGTAAACCTTAACCAGACTACTTTAAGGCTCTGTATATAATATATATTATGAAACGCGTCACTCTTGGAGTACAGTAAATACCTCGTATATACAGGGTGTTATGTATTTAATGTAATATATTAAAATACTGAATACCTTTTGACATGAGGTGTAACGGAAAAATATTTAAAAAATATGTTTCCAAAGATACAGAAAAAATATGTATGGGAAGTTTTTTATATTTTTTGTGATACGCCACTGGTTACACACTTGTGTTCTGTGAGTACATAGAAACCAACCAACAAAGTAGCTGCCCGTTGCCAGTTGTAAAAAAATTGTTAATAAAAATGTTTCTTACAAAAAATTTAAAAAAAAAGTTGCATCAGGTGCTTCTTTATGGACCCTAACGAACTACCCATTCTAATTTATTACATTAATTACTTAACACCCTGTATGTACAGGGTGATCCCCTATAATGTCGCCCCCATTTAACTTTTAAAGTATGGTTATGTAGGTACTGAAAAATTCTTTTTTTCTACTTAAAAAAAACTGGAAAATTAATCAGTATACAGGGAAAAAAAAAAGTTTTTTTTTCTTAATGGATCACCCTATATATGAATTTATTTTTCGATTCCTTGTAAAATTGTAAGCATAATTCATATTACATACCATATACCTAAATTCAACCGTTTCTGAAATATTCGCATTTGAAATGTTATGATTAGTAGCTATTTACATACCATGGGAGGAAAATAGTGCTTTTCCTCCCGCGAATAGTTTGATGCCCGACGCGAAGCGAAGGGCATTAAATATTCAAGGGAAAGCGCATTTTCATCCTGAGGTATGTATATAGTTTTTTCTATTACCTTTTAACAGTTTTAAGACATTTTAAGCGTTTTGGTTCCTTTTACTAACCCGGTATAGGGCTATTAAATTATGACAAAATATTAAGTAGGTGTTGCGTCGCCGACGTTATGTTCACAACGCTTTTTTGCTAGGGTATTTTTGGTAATAACAACATAACAGTTTTTATAAGCTGTCAGGATATTTATCATAAATTTGAAATTCTTCCTATGTTTTGAAAATGAGTTCTAGCGAAGAAGACCTGCCGCAAGATCTTGCTAAACAGGCAAGAATAGTTGCAATTAATTTCCTTCCTTAAAAATCGAAAGAGCGATATGAAAATGAATACCTATAGTTTGTTAAAAGAATGGTTGGACAAGCGCGGAGTAAATCTTTTTCCTACAAAATCAAATAGGATTAGACAAGGCACAAAAACTCTTGATAATGTAAAATTGTTAAAAAAAAAAAAGAGGGAGGAAAAGTGGCATTTTCCTCCCTTGATCGGGGGTGGAAAATTAAGTTTTCTAGTAAGGTAGTAGAAAAATATTTTTTTACAAATCAAGAAGCCTCAGGATAACAAAATGTTTATTGAAAATAAATAACTATAGTGACATTATGTCAATATGTCTTTTTAAGTAAGTAAAAATGCCGTACTCAGACAGAGAAAGACAAACTTTTTTAACTTATTATTTAAAAAATAATTTAAATATTTCAGAAACGGTTGAATTTAGGTATATGGTATGTTATATGAATTATGCTTAGAATTTTACAAGGAATTGAAAAATAAATTCATATATAGGGTGAACCATTAAAAAAAACTTTTTGTTTTCCCTGTTCTGATCAATTTTCCAATTTTTTTATAGGTAGAAAAAAGTTTTTTTCAGTACCTACATAACCACACTTTTAAATTTTTTGGGACACTTAAAATAAAAAGTTAAAGGGGGGCGACATTATAGGGGATCACCCTGTAAAACTGTTCCGAACTAAAATTAAAATTAGTTTTAAGATTTTAACTGATTTCAACTAAAAAAATTAACTGATTTTTTATTTCAGCATAATCTAAAAACTACATCGTTTGTTTTTAAATAACATTTTTTTCAGATATTAAAAAAAATCCAGAATCGAGGAATAATAAACTTGAAAATAATGATTTTATATATCAGTGCAAACACTGTTCAATCCAATTTTTCAAAAAAGAATTATTTGAACGCCACGAGGAACGGTGCTTGACACCAAGAGTTAGAGTTGGCAAAGAAAAGTTGTTTCAATGTGACACTTGTCCCAAGAAATATCAAACGAAGAGGAGTTTATTGCAACACACAAAGTTTGTTCACAAAAAAGAGGGACTGGAAAAATTGAAATGCCACAAGTGCGAATATGTAACCGTAAGAAAAGGTAGTTTTAACAAACATTTAAAAATTCACGATAAAAAAAATTATTTAAAGTGCAACTTTTGTTACTACATAGCTGCCCGATTATTTCAATTAAACGCACATATCTTAAGTAAGCATAAATTGGAAAATGAAGAGAAAAATAAAATAAAAATAACATGTAAAATCCATCAGTGCACTAAGTGTTCATATTCAACTCTTAATAAATCAAATTATGACAGTCACTTGAAAGTATGCTTAAAAAATGTCAAATAATATTTTCTCATTAAACATACAGTTATTTTTTTATTGGTAGCTTATGCCAGTTTGATTTAGTATTTTTAGTATTTAAAAAATGGTACTTCTGCTGAAATACTCTGACACAAATTGACAGTAATATTTATTATTGATTATTGAAGTGTGTTTGTATAATAAGTTTATTTATTTTGTTAGTATAGGTATCTGTACAGATTGTGACTAAAATGTGATAATTATAAATGTGATAATGGTAATATGTAGTCATAGTATTAAGTTCAAATTTTGAAATTGTATTTAATACTAAATATGTAACGTGTATACAGTGCTTGCAAATCCAAGTCCGACCGGTTTGAGAAGGACGCGTGAAAATAACAAGGATAGAACGCCAAACAGAAGGCGCTTACAATACGCACGCCTGACGCTCTGACCAATCAAATTCTGTTTGGCATTCTATCCTTATTCTTTTCACGCGGGTATTGAACAAACATCCTTCCCAACGCGGTCGGACTTGGATTTGCAAGCACTGTATAGAGATGTCCCTCTATAAACAAGTTCACATTGTTTCTTGGGATGAATAAAGTATTTTATTATTAATATTATTATTATTATTATTATAATTTACTTGTTAATTATAATATAATATCAATATAAAAAGATACCTATGCCAAAAATAATATAAGATTCCAAAGTAAAAGAACTTTTAAGGGCAAAACTTAATTTCAATGAAGTTATGCCAAATGCCTCAATGCCTGAAGTTCATCGCCTTATGGACATTTTTGGAGTTAAAAAGTAACGTTTTTGGTTTAACAAATATTAAATCACACATTATTTTCTGCTAAGCAGATAAAAAAAATTTGAAATTTAAAAAAATAAGGGGGAAATAAAAAAAAAAAATAAAAATTATTTGCTGTTAGGTTCAACCTTTTTGTGAAAAATCTAGTAGTTAATTTTCCTGTCTTTAAAAATAGCTCAATTTGGTTTGAAAAAGATGAGCAATAATCACGAAACTTTTTCCTCTTTCAATTTGCAAGTTACTGATCATTAATAGTCCTGGACATTATTAAGCCGCTACAAGTATTAACGTCCAGTGGCTTTAACAAAATACCCATTCACCATTGGAGTCCAATGATTGGACAACATTCACGTGTGTTCACATAAATATTTAATTTCTTCCCTATAAATTCTTTTCAAAGTGAAGATTATTATCAGCTAGGAATACTTTGTCTCTCCTGGGTCGTAGTATGATTTTATTTATCTACGCACCACCAAAGCCAAATTAATTGCATTTTAAGTACGAATTTTCCAGTCCAGTTAAAAAAATGTACTTTAATTCGTTTAATGATTATAATTAGTATACTGATAACACTGGTTTAAAGCTGGCAACAATCCACACAAGGTCTGGTTTCGCGCATACTAAAAATCACGACGATAGGCAACCCACCGCACATACTCCAACGGCGGATATTTTTATGTTGTTTACAATTTTTTAGCTTCGGGATTGTGCTGTTTATACAGCTTAAAAATAGGTTTAAACGTTGTGTTTCTTACAGAGGCAATTTTAAGCCTTAAAGTGCTAAGGGCAACCATTTTATTTCTCTTTTGTAAAAAATTAACAGGTATTTCATTATTATTATAAAATAGCTGTCAATTTATTAAACAAAAACTCTGCAGCATCTAACATGCTCAGAAGTCAAGAGTCATAGCAAAATTGGTCCTTAAGTGAGGTTAGGTTAAAACTTGGCCAAGAATTGCCCTTTTATCTTTGGAAAAGTTTTACCAATAAAAGTACAATATAGGACTTAATATTCCCATGTTTTTGTGCAATCGCGATGGCCACCAATAAATGATCAAATTGTGCCCAATAATATACAAAGCAGTTTGGATTAAGGGGTAACATACATTTGTGCTGGGTCAAAAAATCGATTTTTTTTTTATTAAATATTCTTACAACATATACTTTTAAGTATATGTTCTCAAAATTTCATCACGATCGGAGCACTAGAACTTAGGTTAGAGCAATTTATAGCGCGCTACCTCACGAAAATTTAAAGGCAAATTGAATGAACTTAAAACTTTAAACGCGTTTATCTCGAAATCGTATTTTTTGCCGTGAGCACGATTTCTCGAAAACTGATCGATCTGAAATTTGGAAGTGTTCCTTATTATAATACCTCCTTCGTGAACAAAGGGATTTTTATTTAAACGAAATTTTCTATTTTTTTCGGCCGGAAAAATCAATTTTTGTAATAGATTTTTTTGGTAAAATCACCGCCATTTGCGTGAACATTTTTTTTTGCGAAACCCTTTGTTTACGAAGGGGGTGATACTACAACTACTTCAAAACATACCCTATTTGATGCTTTATAGTTCGTTTCAATATAATTATTATTATAAACAACAAAAAATCACCAAAAACCGTTAATTTTGGGTATACCCACACATGTGTGGATTGTGGGTATACCTACCCTACCTACTTAAGGGGTTACATACATATGAGCTCGTAAAAATTATTATGGGTATACCTATAGGTTACCGTTGGTTTAATTTTGAGAATGTTTGGGCATAAAAAAACGATGACAAAGTTTAAATGTATAGTTGGAAACGTTTTAACACCCTGCTTAAAATACCCCATAGAGACCCTGTTCAAACCGATAGATGTTTCTATAGGACCCATAGTTGGGATTTATGGTTGTTCTATAGGGATATGATTTATTTGCTATTGGTGTCAATGGGGAAAATACACATAAATGTAGAAATTACTTTTTTTCCCATAGGACTTCTTTGGCCGGCGGAGTAATTCTTTACGAACACTCGGTTCCTCTTGGGACCCCGAGTAGTGTGGGACTCCGTCTATTGACGTATACCCACTAAAACTCCCCCGTTAGGGGTTCAAAGCCCTGCACTGGGGTTTGCTTTCGCATTCCTATTGTGCCCCATAGGTTTAAATAAAATTTTGTCAAATGTTTTATGGTTGTTCCATTGACTCAACAGTTGTTCTATAGGGATATCCCTATATATCCTTCATTGAGTTATTTGCTATCGGTCTCAATAGGAAAAATGTGAAAGTTATGGTGTGCCTATAGGTATAATTTCCTATAAATTTTCTATCGGGCCGTATTCGGAAAAAACCATAGTCAAATGCACATATTGAATCCGGTAGCGCCCGATAGGGGTATTTTAAGCATGGTGTTTAGCAATACATTCGCGAAACGTTTCCCAAAAAACATATTTCCCACTTAATATCATACATTCAAATAACGTTTTCATCCAACGTTTTAACTACGTATTTCCCACTTAAAATCATGCACTCAAACAACGTTAACTCATAATTATGAGTATAACAAATTATTATACAAATTTCCAACGTTGTCTGAATGTAGGTAAACGTTAATTTCTTCCAGGGTATTTATATTTATTTATAATTTAATTTTAAGTGTGAAACTGTTAATAAATAAATTGTTCCACAATTTTTGTTGTTTTTATTTACGCCTGAATTTCGTAAAACGCTTTATAATTATTTAAATGTAATTTATCTGAAAGCGTTCTATAATTTAAGCTTTATATTATTGTGAACGCTCACTGCCAAAGTGATCAATTATCTCCTAGGTTGTAAAAATATTTTAGACAAATCAGGTAAAGTTTTTTAGAGGCCTATTCCCTTTTTTGCTCTTCGTAAACATCGATTTCTTAGCATGTATGTTCACCCAACGACAACCCAAACATCACCTATGTTTAAGGCTATTCCGTTTCTCATATGTTGATAGTCTTGCCCTTGGTCTGTGCAATGGACATAATATATAATACCTGAATATTATTGTGTAGGCATACCTATATATTATAATCGTATACGATTTGAATAAAACATTATTTGAAATAAAAACAATTTATTTATAATTATGTACATAACAATTTGACACTTAAATTATTGCTAGTTTTAAATCTTAAAAATCATAATTATTCGTAAATTTTAATGTTTAAACATTCAAATTTACATCAAAATGTCCTACAGTCAAATACAAATAATTGAGGTTATATATCTGTCAGTTTAACGCTAATTTTCCAAAAAATATGTCCACGAATAGAGGGCCCAAGAGGACAAATGGACTAAAATTTTCATTTTTCGACCAAAAGTCATTCTTTATAAAAAGTTCTGCTTGTGTTGAAAAGTCTATTGTCATACTTTAAATTTGAACATATTATATAAGAGTAAACTACCTTTATTTTTCGTTTTGGAGCAAAATGACAAATAAAAAAAGATTTTAAATCCTATCCAAAGACTATTTGTAAAATTTTAACTCAGTATTCCAAATTTTATTTTACTTTCAAAGTTTTGGAGCAAAATGACAAATAAAAAAAGATTTTAAATCCTATCCAAAGATTATTTGTAAAATTTTAACTCAGTATTCCAAATTTTAATTTTTATACTTGTATACCTTAAGGTATTAATTAATTTCACGTATTCTTTGCATGACAAAAAACTGACACAGTCTTAGATATTAATTTTAAAATTTCGTATTCAAAATATGTCAAGATACAATATCCGTATTTTAAAGTTACGCAAATATTTTATTAAAAAAAGTTCATAATGTCAGGAAAAAAGAGAAACTTTATAACAAATTGGGCATATAAAATTATCCTATTTATTCAAAAACCCCTCCACCGTATTCGACGCATTTCTCAAACTGCCGTCTAATCTGATCATAACTTCTTCTTATCTCTTCAAGTAAAATCATTTGAACTGACTCTGAAATCCTTTGTTTTAGAATATCGATATTATTTTCAATCGGTTGGTGATACGTTAATTGCTTCAAACGACCCCAAAGAAACGCATCAGCAATTGTGAGGTCCGGACTCCTCGCAGGCCACACAATTGGACCATTTCGGCCAATCCACCGATCTCTGAATTTATTGTTTAGCCATTCCGTGACTTCGCGAGCATAATGTGCAGGGCAGCCGTCTTGTTGAAAGTACATTTTTCCACGGTAGTGTAATGACAGCTCATCCAGCTTGTCCGAAAGAAAACGCGCGAAACGCACGAATTTCAAAACTGTTTTTATAAAAAAAAATTGTAGATTATTTATTATATAATATTTTGGCATCAAAATTGTCAAAATTATTCTTCTTTTATTAGGTTATACATTAAATAAAAAAAACGCAAGAAATATTTTATGAAAGTAGATATAATTTTAATAATTGAAATATTTCTTTCGATTTTTTTTATTTAATGTATAGCCTAATAATAGAAGAATATATTTGACAACTTTCATGCAAAAATAATATATAATAAATTACCTACAATTTTTTTAATAAAAACAGTTTTGTGATTTGTCCCGTCCATCCGCTTGAAATGGCCGAAAAGTTTTCAACATTTCCATGTACGAATTCCTATTGCATGTATCCTCAAAAAAATATGGTCCCAATATCCCATAATATGTAATGAGACACCAAACGATAACTTTTTTAAGATATTGCCGACGTGCAGGAATTCTGAATTCTGGATTTTCAGGGCTCCAGTATCGTACGTGTTGGGAAGCTACCGTACCATTTGTGGAAAAAGTGAATTCGTCGGAGAATAAAATATGTTTGTGAAACTGATTATTTTCATTTAAAATTTTGTCCCCTATCCACAAACAAAAATCTAATAGTTTTGCTTGGTCTCCATCTTCTAGAGCTTGATTAAAATGTGGTTTATATGGAAAAAATTGTTGGCTTTTAATATTTTTTGAATTTGACTTTTTTGGACCACATGCAAATTTTGAGCTCGTTTTCGTAACGACAGAATAGGGACAACTGTAGCCGCATCATCCTCGTCAAAAAGTTTCTTCTTCTTTTTTAAATTATCCACCGACCCAGTGTTCTTGAATTTTTTAACCAGTTGACGATTTCCATGTATTGAAACTGAAACCCCTGGAAAGTTCAATAACACTGCACCAAAAATATGTTTTGTTCAATAGTTAGCATTTTGAAAATATTTTATAAAACGAAATTTATAATCTAAGACTGTCACTGTGGCATTTTTTGTCATACATAGGTAGGCTTTCCAACTTCTGTCAAAAAAATCCCGAGGGGTAGACCACTCTAAAATCTTCGAGACCAACGTTCAACATTATGTGGACGTTACGCTATGATTTCTCCTTATTCGACCATTATCAATCATTATCAATACGGAAAAATCCTTATGAATAAGAAATTTCTCTTAGCGACGCGTTGCTATGACTACCCTTGTGATTTTTTCCTTAGACGTTATAATTCGTATGCGATTTATAATTTTTTAAAATCAGTGGTTTACCCCTCGAAAAATCCAGGACATTTACAGTAAATTTACAAAAATGACACAATCAACAATTATCAAGTAACGTCAATTTAACAATTTGCATTGTAGCATTGTTCATTTTTGTAATTAATGTAAATTTTCACAAAATAACCAGGTAAAGGAAACGTAAAATGGGGTACAAAAGTATAAATTAGAAATTAAATTTTAAGAAAAATAAAATTAGGAATACTGAGTTGAAATTTTACAATTGGTCTTTGATACTCTTGATAGTATTTCATGTTTTCTTGTTTTTTGACCCCCCTGTATAATATTTTCAAACTTAATATATGGCAATAGACTTTTCAAAACAAGCAGAACTTTTTATAAAGAATGACTTTTAATCAAAAAATTAAAATTTTAGTCCATTTGTCCTCTTGGGCCCTCTATCCGTGGACATACTGTATATATATATATATATATATATTAATTTTTAAGTATAAAAGTCTTAAACTGAACACAAAATAGGTAGGTATAAATTCGGTTCCGGTTTTAATAAAAAGGGCGATTCAACAGCGCAAAAAAAGTTACTGAGAACCTTTAAAGAGGCACATTTTAATTTTTCTTCAGGTATAACTTATAATAATACATTTCATCCAGAAATATATCTAGGTACATCTGTGATTTTATCTCACCCACTACAAAATGGTTTTTTTCTACGACCACTATGTAAAATTCACATTTCGTAACGGCATCGTTGCTTATAAAATGAATCTTTTCATTGGCAAGGCAAAACACGAATGTAAACTTTACATTACATTGTAAAGTGACATTTCTGTGTGAAAAGTGACAGGTCTGCGTGAAAAGAAATTGACAGCATAGGTAGTTTGACATTCGTTTCAAAATTTGTACTGTATTTGTATATATACGTATGCCTAAATATCATTTAGGACCATATACCTATAACTTAAGTTATATATAGGTATATGTTTAGGACACAATTAATTGTGTTTGTGTCATAAATTCTAATTTTTAGTGCCTTTATTTAAATTAAGAAGGTAAGTTTCTTGATTTAAAGTAACTTAAAAATTAAAAAAGAATAAGATGAAAGTAATTTTAACAGCTGTTAAACACGTTCTTAGGTTATTTTGTTTAGTATTTGAATATAATAAAAAATAAAAGGGTCGTAGAAAAAACATTGTGTTTCACAGTGAAACTTTCACTTGTGAGAAAAGCTTACTTCAAGCTTGTGAGCAACAATCGCATTAAAAAGTCGCTTTTCAAGACTTTTATAAAACAAATAACTATTTTCTACAACCACTATGTAAAAGTCACATTTTGTAATGGCATCGATGCTTAGAAAATCTTTTCATGGCAACGCAAAACACGAATGTAACGTGACATTTCTGTGTGAAAAGTGACAGGTGTAAAAAGAAATTGACAGCATCATTTGACATTCGTTTCAAAATTTATATTGTATTTGTATATAATGGGTGATTCATTTAGACCTTTTTTTTTAAATTCTAAATAAAATGCATAAAATGGAATTGGATGGCGGAATCTTTATTATGGCCTGAAAGAACAATCTTTGTCATTTATTTTTTGAAAATAATTTCATTTAAATGCTGTCCGGGACTACGGCGTATGTGGTCCATTCGGAAGATCCAATTTTCGATCACTCTTTCTAGCATTGCGACCGGTATCTGCCCAATGAGGCGAGTAATGTTGGCTTCTTAGTCCTGAATCGTAGCTGGATTATAGACAAAGACTTTTGATTTAACAAGACGGAGCTGCGGCACACACAGCCCGCGAAACAATAGCTTTATTGAGAAATCATTACTCGGGTAATTGGGCAGATACCGGTCGCAATGCTAGAAAGAGTGATGGAAAATTGGACCTTCCGAATGGACCACGCTGTACGCGGCCAGCATTTAAATGAAATTATTTAAAAAAAATAAATGTCAAAGATCGTTCTTTTAGGTCATAATAAAGATTCCGCCATCCAACTCTATTTTATGCGTTTTATCTAGAATTTAAAAAAAAAGGTCTAAATGAATCACCCTTTATATGTCTAAATATCATTTAGAACACAATTAATTTTGTTTGTATAATAAATTCTATTTTTTAGTGCCTTTATTTAAATTGACAAGGTAAGTTTATTGATTTTAAGTAACTTATACCTTAAAAATGAAAAGAATGAGATTAAAGTAAGTTTAACAGCTGTCAAACACGTTCTTAGGTTATTTTGTTTAGTATTTGAATAGGGTCGTAGAAAAAACATTGTGTTTAACTTGTGAGAAAAGCTTAAGCTTTTAGTAATTACTTCAAGCTTGTTAGCAACACAACACAAATAACTATAGTTATATATTTTTTTTGTAGTTTTGTCCCATACAAAACCATAATTTATGGTTCAAATTTATATCAATGATTATTCTTCAAATGGAGTCTCAAACTATTTGTTGTTGTAGTTTTGTACTCACAGTGTTGACAATAGTGTATTTTGGAAGTGATTATGTTTTTATTTGATTCATTTAACAAGTTCGAATGTTTAATTAAAATATGATTGTCCAGATGTTGTTTTTTATTACTTTGATGATGGCAGAATAAACATTTCAGTTCTTTAATTTTATTATGAGTTTTTATATGCATTGTTAAACTACCTTTTAGAATAGTTTTATACTGGCAAATCTGACATTCATAAAATTTGACATTTTTCAATTTCAAACACACTTTAACATGATTGTCATAACCTGATTTATAAACAGTTGAGTAAGAACAATTAGTGCACTGATGAACTTTACTTGTTATTTGTACTTTATTCTCTCCCTCATTTTCGAATTTATGTCTACTTACGATATGTGCATTTAAAGACTGTAATGTAACAGCCGTATATTGACAAAAATGGCATTTTAAATGTTTTTTTCTATCGTGAATTTTCAAGTGAACTTTAAAGCTACTTTTGTTTGTAGTTTCATAATTACATATGTTGCATCTGAATTTTTCCAGTTGATCCTTACTATATACATGATCACATCTTTTATGATAAAATAAACTCCTCTTTGTTTGATATTTTTTAAAGCAAACATCACACTTAAACAGCTTTTCTTTGCCACTCGAATCATCACATTTAACCCCATGATATTCCACCTCGATTTTCGCCTCAAGCATGGCTTCATTTTCATATTTTTCTTCATTGTCTTCATCGTTTGAGGATATCTTATTATCTTCTTCAGAGACGTCACTGTCCCTTTCTTCTTTCTTAATATTGCAAGAAAAATCTTCACTTTCTACGTCACTATTGTTGATTTTATATCTAAAAATTATGTAAAATTGTTATGTATATGTTTAATAATATATTATATATTAATATTATTCTTTCCAAGATAATTATGTGGGGAATCAGTTTGAGATTTTGTAAAAATTAGGAAAATTTGCATAAGACAATAAATGACAACAATGCTTACCCTTTGTCAAACAATGCTTCATCATAATCCAATTCTTCTTTGATTTCTTGTTTTATATATATTTGTTCTATGCTTATTGTTTTTCCAGAGGTTGAAGGCTTTTCTTGGTCAACATAATTCATCAAAATATCACCTTCGGATTCTTCTAATTCTTTTTTAACGACTATTTGCTCCATTGTATATGGAAACTACTACTTGTATCACAGAGTAGTTGTATCAACTCTAAAATACTTTGGCAAGTTGTACAAAAATATAGAAAACCTTTATAGGTACTCTATATATGAGTGCCTCAAACGAATTAAAATATTAATTAACGTATGTTTACCTTGACAATGTTTTTACACTGAAAAATAGGGAACTTGTAGTCCAAGACTTGAACTTGTAGCCAAAGAACACTTGTTCTTTACTTGTAGCCAAAGGTGGTGGCACATATCATAGAGGGTTGCGTTTTCTATGTAGCCCTAGACCATTGAGTAAGATGTTACTCAATGCCTAGACATATAACAAATATATAGATAATTAAAAGCCTTCAAGGCTTTTTTATCTAGGTTCGTAGCTTTGCAACAATTCAACCACATAACAAATATATTGGACGCCAAACCATTGTTGCCAACAGAAGCATGTATTTTATAGGTTTATTTTTTGTTGTTGTGTGGATTGTGCCTATTTTCCGTCTATTGGCAACACTGGTTCAAAAAAGCAGCTGTTCTTCGTAACGATGTTGCCAATTGTATAACACTGTTAAAGTAAATTTTTTATTGCACCAAAATTGGGAATAAATAGGTCATGTTGCTGTAAACATTTCTTGCCTCATTTTAATTTTTATCTTTAAATTATCCGCCCATTGGCAACACCAATTTTTTTACCATGTATTTGTTACCTCTATGTGAGTGGTTAAATTAAAACAAAGTGCTTGACTAATTGTAATTTTGTAGAAAATATCGCTCTGCAATTTTCTTTGAATTTTTTTCAAAATATAATTGTTTAGGATTTTTGAAAGTAGGAAAATTATTAATGATGAAGTTAAGTAAGTAAGTATACTATAGATATATAAATAAAAAACCACCCATATTTTATATGTTTTTAATATAAAATAATCAAAATAAATATTAAAAACTAAAGTTAAATACGCTTAAATTTTTGCATATAATTTAACAAATAAATATATTTCTACTGTCTGTCCACGATAAGTTGGCGGACCGAATTAATTAAGTTATTTAGTTATTAAACAATTGTCGTGCTTTTAAAACGTATTTTTTATATTATAAATAAAAATAATATATATTTTATGTATATAAATAATAGTAAAAAACAAAACTAAGTAGGTATGTTTTTTAATATTAATTATCTAAACTGCATACACATTCCTTTGCTCCGCCAACTAGTGGCCAGACTGTACATGCTTATAAAATATCACAATTTAGCATATTTCAATTGTTAAAAGAATTCCAAAAAGTATATAATACTGGTAACATAATATTATTTAATCACTAATTAAGGTTAACTTATCAACTACTATCAAAAAATATAATAAAATACGTTCTAATAATAATTTTACATCAAATAAAATATTTGAAACTTAAAAGTACAGTTGTTTACTACACTATAGTTTCCACAGGTTGAAAGGTATTGAATTGTATGTACATATATCACAGTTTTGGTGAAATGATTAATTATATATTCGTATATTTTTGTTTTAAAAAAAATAACCTATATAAAGAAGACATATTTTTTTGATGTCCATTTTAATTTTTTGTATTATCCTCTTCCTGTAAAATTTAATAAACAAATATTGCATTATTACTTCAAAATTTAAAAACTCACAAGTGTATAAAATTTTTATAAAAGTATGTATAATATAATATATAATAATAATAATAATATAATATATTATATTATCATTGTATAATAAAAATTCCATTTCTATTTTCAATAATAAAGTATATCTATACTTGACAGTATGCTTCTAATTTTCATAGAATTAAATATTATAAATGGGCCTTTTCATCTGAAATTGACCAGTTATTTTTTAACGAATTTATTTTTACAGTTTCTCCACCGAAATCGATGAGACCCGTATTTTTTCTTTTTGCTTAAATTTGTTATTTTTAGCCGTAGAAAATTTTTGGAAATATCGATTTTTATCTTGTGTGACATTTTTTCTTGAAAATGCAATAACTTGGCCAAAAACGTTTAGATCGTTACAATTTTTTTTAAATTGTAGGTAAATGTTTACTACATACCAAAAAAATGAAGTAAATTTACAAATTTTTTTTATTGTTCTCTCAATAAAAGTAAAAAAAAATTGAGGGGCCATTCCACGCTTAACGGATAGGACAGTTGCCGTGTTTTTATTTACAAAATAATATTGTTCCATTATATTACCAATGTCAAATTTTTATAAATAGTTCTAATTAGAACTTAAAAGAGAAATTTAAACAAAAGCTGTTTAACAAGGTTTTTATTTGGCAAAATTAGGTATCGTGACTGACTGTTTAATTCCTTAAAAATTAATAATTTAAAGCGTAACGGGCGCGACTATTACAAAGTCCCGTCCGTTACGCTTTAAATTATTAGTTTTTAAGGAATTAAACAGTCAACCACGATACCTAATTTTGCCAAATAAAAACCTTGTTAAACAGCTTTAGTTTAGAACTATTTATAAAAATTTGACATTGGTAATATAATAGAATAATATTAATTTGTAAATAAAAACACGGCAACTGTCCTATCCGTTACGCGTGGAATGACCCTGAGGTCAAAATTTCGACATTACCACATTTTTTTAACTTCATATTTTTTTTCGTTTGAAGTTAATAATAGGAACAACTTTTTGCCAAAAGTCCTGAGTTGGCTAAAATCGTGGTTTTGGATTTACGGATTGTTCATGAAAATAACATTTTCTAGTAAATTCGTGATTCATCGCAAAAATTTGGTATTTTATCTAGGGTCATGAAACTGGGGTGACCTTTATAAAGTGTAATTTAGAACTTTTTGGCATATTTAACATATTTTTGTTACTTCCGGTTCCACCGGAAGTGCTCTTAAGTGAGTAAATTAAATTATTAAGAATTTTAGAGTAAAATTCTTAATATTTTACTTTTAATTTAATTCACTTAATTTTTTATATATTTTTTTATGTAGTAAACATTTACCTACAATTTAAAAAAAAATTAAACGATCAAAACATTTTTGGTCAAGTTATCGCATTTTCAAGAAAAAATGTCACTCGTAAAAAGAGAAAAATCGATGTTTCTGTCCATTTTTCAAAAATTTTATACCGGTAAATAAAACAAATTTAAGCAAAAAAAATACGGGTCTCATCGATTTCTTTAAAGAACCTGTAAAAAAATAACGACCCACCCCTTTCTGCATGCTTGTTTTGAGATGGAAAGACCCAAATACATTTTTTGATAAAAAATAACTTTTTATTTCATGTTAAATTCTTGAGTAGAGATATTTATCATTTTCATGTAGTATAAATTATGAGTTTTATGACGATTTGTTATTTATATGTTAATAAATATTTACTTACCACTTGCTCCTTTTGTATGCCAATATCAATTTGGGGTGACACATCATCAAACCCAATAACAAAGCACTGAATGTCATTCAGTTCGTCCTTTTTTATACTTTTTGTTTGGAGTATAGGAGATGCAATTCCTTCTTCAAATGTAATACCTGGATTCCACTTTCGCATTGTTGATGGAGCAGGAAGAGGTAGATTCCGTTCTGTTCGCCAATATTCATAGGCTTTGTGCCCATAACTATGAGCAGTAATGGCTCTAGAAATATCTTCCTGTGTCCAAGAAGTCCTGGTTTTACCCGGGTTTAAAAGTAAATCCACTTGTTTTGGAGTAAAAACTTTGGAGAGATTTTCAACCACAGTACATTGTGGCAGACTGTTCTTGATAATCAACTGTAAATTTTTAATGCTTTCTTGCAGATCTACTTTTGATTTCTGAAGCACTTTAATTTTCATATTTTTAGCATTGACTTTCTTCTTCATTTTTAACATTTTGACCCTCATGTCAAAAATTATTTTTTTATACTCTGTAGCCCTAAAATGTATATGTCAATATGTATATGCTTAAATTAATTCTAGTCGGCATATCTATATATATGTATATAAATGATTCGCCGTGCGTTAGTCCTACAAAAACTTGATTTAAATATTTTTTTGTTTTGTTCGCCTCAATACAGGGGTGATTTAAATAAAAAATATATTAGGAAAAACCGAAAGGAACAGCCGGAAAATCGAAAACTTTGAATTAATTTGAATAGATGGCGTTCGTAGCTGCGTTTCAAATTAAATGAAAAACTTAACCTCAAATTCCAGGACTCCCACGGCTAAATTACAAATTTTAATTAGGAATTTTTAAGTTTCTTTGAAGAATTTTAGGAGAAATAAAGTATTTAAATAAAAACACCCCACACTGTAATTAAAAAATGAGAAAAAAATAAATATCACTTCTTTTGTAGGAATAGGTTACATTGACTAGTTTTTTAGCAAAATCGCTCGACGAGTTTTTTTTTAATAATATATAAACTTAACCTCAAATTCCAGGACTCCCACGGCTAAATTACAAATTTTAATTAGGAATTTTTAAGTTTCTTTGAAGAATTTTAGGAGAAATAAAGTATTTAAATAAAAACACCCCACACTGTAATTAAAAAATGAGAAAAAAATAAATATCACTTCTTTTGTAGGAATAGGTTACATTGACTAGTTTTTTAGCAAAATCGCTCGACGAGTTTTTTTTTAATAATATATACCCAAGTAGAAATTTCACCACTTTTATTTTATTTATTTAAAAAACACGTCGATAGATATGGCTAAAAAAAGTCAAAAGATGTTAGGTATATTTATATTTTGTTAATAACTAACAATAATTGTAATGTGGATCTTGTAACTAAAAATCCCATAATAGAAAAAATATAGAGTTTGCATAATACAGGAAAACATTCTTTAGATTGTTTAATATTTTAGCTATCATTTAAAAGAATATTAAAAATCCTTTTGTTCGAAAAATGGCCAAAAATGATAATTTTGTAGAAGTCCAGGAGCTATTACATGGATTTTGTTTTTTAGGTATATTTTTTTGTTTTTTTAAGAAAAATGTAGGTTGCGATATATCCTTTAAAAAGAATTTAATAAACTAAAACCTAAAAATATATATTTTTTAAATACATTTTAAAAAAGAAATTTTTAAGCACAACTACCTTAAGGTAATTGTGCTAAAAAAATTCTTTTTTAAAATGTATTTAAAAAATATTAAGGTAATTAAGTAATTAAACTCAGTCAGGTTGGCCTATTTATATTTAATTTTTAGGAGTTTTAGGTGATTGTTGTCAATTTTGGGAGTTTTTAAGATTTAAGCCAAATTTTAGGAATTTTAGGAGCCCTGAAATTCATTCATTTATTTTTGTTCACCTCAATACAGGGGTGGTTTTGAAAAAAAACATTAGGAAAAACCGAAAGGAACAGCCGGAAAATCGAAATTTCTTTAACTTTGGATTAATTTGAATAGATGGCGTTCGTAGCTGCGCTTCAAATTAAATGAAATAACATAACCACAAATTCATTCATTCAATTGTTTTAGCGAGAAATTATTTTAACCCTGAACTGGTATTGTTGGGTCAATTTTGACCCCAAGCTTTTTTAAGCGCATATATTTAGGTAACGAAACGCAATACTATTTTGAGACTGCAGGTATTCCTCAAGCGTTCGACGTACTTACCATTGTAGCATTCATGCCTCAGTTTCCGTTTGTGCTTTGCCCAGTATTTAAATAATTAGTTTTCTAGCCAATGCATGCATTGGTTCCTGAAAAGCCCTTGTTAGATTTTTGTTTGGGAATTTCTACAATGTTTTTTTAGTTTCTTAGTGTGTTTATGTCATGTTTTTATTAATTTGATATATTGATATATGTTTATGACAAAAAAAAAATATTTTGCTAAAATCGTTGAACGATGTTTTTTTATGTTCATATTTTATTTTCGTGTTTATGTATTAAAAAATTTGAATAAATTTGAGTTTTTTCCATTTTTAGGTTTTTTTCCTCTAAACTAACAAATTAAAGTATAGTTAGTCAAAAAAACTGTAACCTCCCCTACTTTATTAGGGCTGGGTCAAAATTGACCCAACAATACTAGTTGTGTTGCTTGGAAATCACCATACCAGTTCAGGGTTAAATAGTATAGTTCTCAATTGTTTAAATTAAATTGAAAGGTTAATATGGATTGATAATCGCTTATAAAGATTTTTAGGTGGAACATTTTCTTTTTAATTTACTTTTGAATCAAACATGCTTTAACATTGAAATCACTAATGTTATCTGGTGAAAACTGGATGACACCGTATATTAAATTATGCATAAAAATTTAACTTACGTTTTTGGTTTAAAATTTTCCCCATTTCCTTCAGTTGACCCCTCAGGCAAGATGATGGCATTATTAGGCAGGTCTTGCAATGGTTCCAAACTGCTAATTTAAAAATAACATTCATATTAATATGTTTTTATTACAAATAATTTATATTACTTTTTGGCACAAGTTGCTTCCTTTGGGAGATCTACAGCCATTTCTAATGTTTCGGATCTGTAAATTTCATAGTTAGAAAAATATTTAACAGATATAAAAAATAAATGGTATAATATTGTTGCCTTTTGCGACTTACCCCTTCATATAATAATACCTTACAGGCAAATGCAATGTTGGAACAGCATTCTCAGTAAGGTCTCGGTAGGATTTAGGTGGTGCCAAACCATACAAAACTTCATGTGGATGCCTTACCAAATATTTTGGCTCGAAATGTATAGAACAAACTCGATCTAAATAAATACATACATACATTACAAATTAAGTTTTATATATTGTTGTGGAACTTACAAGATGTTGGTTTTTCCATATTAACTATTGGATTATCAGCAGCCTCAACCCACTCTTTGGCTTTTAAAGAGTTTTTTGGCAATGTGTAAAATTTCAATTCTTTGTTATTTCTGTTGTTGTTCTTACAATTTTTTACCATACAGTACGACACTAAATAAATAAAATTATTTAGATAGAAAACTGACTAAAAAGTCTACCTTAGTTTTACTTACTGGTTAAACAATATTTATTGCAAAATAGAGACTAATTAGTGTTTATACACAAGTACACTAGTAAAGTGACTACACACACAGGAGCAGATTCAGTGTGAAATTCACATTAGTAACGTTAATAAAACCCAACAGGAACACACTCAACTGATAACAATAAAAACCAATAAACTAACAACGTTTAAAACGATTATTAATCTGTATAAACAGCACAAACTTTATGCACAAAAATCTTTTATCTTTGACAAGAATTGTAAACAACATAAGAATAAAAAAATGGCCGCCGCCAAACTCTGTGCAGTGGGTTGCCTAACTTCGTGATTTTAAGTGTGCGCGAAACGAGATCGAACAAGTGTGTGGATTTTAAGCTCTTAAGCCTGATTTATGTATTGCCTTTCTTTTCACCCGGCTGCTTGCCAGAACGATTTGTTTGTCTTGTAAAAAGTCAATTTATAGATTCCCGTAGTGCATTCCGTAAGCATGCGCGAGATCGAACAATACTTTTGTGGATTCTGTAAACTCTTAAACCTGATTTATAGATTGCCTTCCTTCCTTCCTCCCGGCTGCTTGCCCGTACGATTTGAAAGTACCTTTGAATAAAAAAGGTTTTTTATTCAAAGGTAAGTAAATAAAAAAGTTTTTTTTATTCAAAAAAAGGTTTATTCAAAGGTAAGTACGATAATTTAATTCGATAATTTTATGAGGTTGGTACGATAAATCCGTTTTCAAGACTTGGCAACACTGCTGAGGTGTGCTTTCATATGTTATGACGTAAGGTCAACTTAAATCAGTGTTACCAGATTCTGTCAAAAAAAGACCGTACGTTTCGTTCGAATTTACCTTAATTACAAAAATGACTCAATGGACAATATTAAATAACGTCAACTTGACATAATTGCATTTATTTGCATTGTTTCATTGTGTCATTTTGTAATTAAGGTAAATTCGAACGAAACGTACGGTCCTTTTTTGACAGAATCTGGTAACACTGACTTAAATTGGCCGGTTTTGTGTAAATTTTAAATTATTATAATATCTATACATGATACATATCATACATGATATATATATCATGTATAATATATGTTCTGTGTATATGTGGATTCTATATACAGAACAAGATATACATTTTCAAATTATGGAAAGATGTTGATGTGTTTTTTTATTATAAATAAGGTAATTAAACAATAACTGAACTGAATTCGAGAAGTATACAAGGGTAGAATCATCCGCAAACAAATGTATTTTTCCTTTAAGCGATAAATTAGTTAATGAATTTATATAAATGAGGAATAGGGTTGGGCCCAATATTGAGCCCTGTGGAACCCCATAGTCTATGTTTTTCTCATCACTTTTTATGTTACCTATCTGAACAGATTGTCTTCTATCCCTTAAATAATTCTCGAACCACACATTTCCCACACCGAGCAATCGCAACTTTTTTAATAGCACATCGTGCCGTACTGTATCAAATGCCTTGCACAGGTCCAGCGACACCAACGCGCATTTTAAGTTTTTATCAAGGTTAAGCTGTATCTCAGTAATTAAGTCAATTGCTACCGAGCTAGTGTCGCTAAACCTGCAGAAGCCATATTGAAAGTCTAAAAAAAATCCCACATTATTCAGATACGCTATAATTTGACAATTTACAATTCGCTCCATTATTTTTGAGAATACAGGTAAAACAGATATACCTAGGTCTGTAGTTATTTACACAAAATTTATCTTTACTATTTTCATACCACCCAGAACTTGCCCATACTTAAGAGATTGGTTTATAATTTTACATAACACTGGTGCCAAGTCTTCTTTACATTTTTTTACTATTTTTACATCTATGTTATCAATGCCAGATGTCTTGGAAGAATCCAACCCGTATACTAAAGTGTTCACCTCATTTATTGTTACTGGAGTGAACTCAAAGGTTCCTCTGCTTGATTTTTCATTAGTCTCATCCAGTGTTGTATCAGGTATACTTTCTGCAAGATGTTTGCCTATTGTTGAAAAAAAATTATTCATTACATCACCCACTTCCTTCCAGGGTTGGCATGATATATATCAATGATATATATCCGATATATATCATTGATATATATCATGATATTTATATCTTGATATATATCATGATATTTAAAAAAAATTAAAAATAGGTAATTTGGTTGGAACACGATGACTGATGCAATCAAGTCATTTTTGGAAAATCGAGGTAACTTGGTTCAGCTATGCCAAGATCACAAAAATGACATCGATCCTCACATAACTAAAATTATAAATGACGTAAATATCGTAATGAATGCTGAACATATGCTTAGCTATCTAAAGCCAATAGCAGTCGCTTTAGACAGAGCTCAAAGAGATAAAACGACTATTGCCATTGTAGTTGAAATTTGGAATAAACTTGAACTGGATCTTAAAGGGCAATCCTTAGATGTTAAAAAACATTTTTATCGAAGAAAAGATATGGCTTTAGATGCACCACATTATCTAGCTAATATGTTCGACCATCGATTTTTGGGTAAATGTTTAAATAACCACCAAAGAGAACAAGCATTTACTTATTTAAATAAAATTAATCCGGATTTCATTCCTTTTGTAATGGCGCTTTTAGCTGAATCTACACCATTTCCAAAATATGTATTTGGGCCTCAGTTTAGAAATACATCACCTATGATGTGGTGGAAAGGAATTATTATTGATGATACAACTTGGCCAAATAAACAAGGCTTTCTATCTCTATGTGAACAGCTGCTTACTGCAATTGCGGCTACCGCATCTCTTGAAAGAATGTTTTCATCATTTGGACTTGTGCAATCGAAACTACGTAATAGGCTTGGAAACGAAAAAGCTGGAAAATTGACGTTTTTATTTAAATACAAAAATCAGTAAAAAAAAATGAAAATATGGGTTGGATTTGGGAGAATTTAAAAACACAAGAATTATCGGGACCTTCTATCGAATCTGACGAATCCGATGATAATTTACCTATAATAAAGTTGTTATAAATGTGTTAGTTTTCTTGTTATAATATCACAAATTCCTAAATTTTATTTGGCTACTAATAGTACCTACTATAAACATTCTTAGATAAACAAATTATTTAAAAAAATAAATATCAAAACTTGATATATATCGGATATATATCTGATATTTTGATATTTATATAAATATCATGATATTTGCCAACCTTGCTTCCTTCTGATCCTTAATCATAACCATGGTGCCCTGGTCACACAGTACAGGAAGTTCCTGCGATTTGATAGTGTCACTATTCCTAATCAAAGTATTTATGGCTTTCCAGCACTTTTTTTTATTGTTGTTTAAAGACTCAAATTTATTTTTATTATAGTTGATTTTTGAGGTTCTTATTTCTTTGCGCAGTATAACACAGGTTTCTTTGTACTTTTTGTGAACAAAGTCATTATTTGGGTAATTTACCGACTTTTTAAAGTAATAATCACGACTTTGAATAAGATTATATATTTTGTTATTAAACCAAGCTTTACTATTGGGCCTAAATTTATTTTTCAACAAAATATACCTTATGTTTTTTGTAAAACATTCAGCCATCTTGTTATAATTTTCATTTAGATCAGTAGTCTGAATAGTTAAGATTTACCTGTTGCAGATTATGTTTTAAAATATCAAAATCGACTAATTTTTTATGTAGTAGTTTTCTACTTTTTTTTGGGCTATTTTTATGTTTATATTTAATATTTGTAGCTCGTGGTCACTCAGTGAACTCCCCACCACTGAGAGATTCAGAGCACCATCATCAGGATCAGAATTTGTAAGTAAGTGATCGATTAGGGTTTTGGTACCCTTGGATACCCTAGTTGGTTCTGTTTTATTAATAAATTTAAAATTATTTGCTAGGCAAATCTGTTTACAATAAGAGGTAGTGTTTGATAAGATATCCAGGTTGAAATCTCCCAAAACATATGTCTTAGACTTGCGGCATTCACTTAGGTTTTTGTCAATGAATTGCATGGTGTGATCTTTGTGTTTTTGTTCGGGAGGTATGTAAACAGCTGCCATATCCATGTCATAATCTATTAAATTGATTTTCAAAAAGGACAGATTACCATTTGTTGTCTTTAAAACTTTATATTTATGCTTGTCACTTATAAATATGGCCACTCCACCTCCACGTTTCTGCCTGGTTGCATATTCAGCTTTGTACCCAGGTAGGTTGTAGAATATTTTTTCCTCTTCTTTCACCCAAGATTCGGACACAACAATGACATCTACACTATTTTTGATAATATTAATTAATACTTCTATATGCTCCAATTTATTTTTTACAGAGCGAGCATTGAAGTAGAGAACTTTTATGCCTTTGGCCACACTGGTTGCACTGTGATTGTATTCAAAAACTGAACTATATTTAGCAATATCCATTAAGCTGATAGTCTTAAAATTAATTATCACAGATGCTATATATATGCTATATATATGTTGTTAAGCTCTTGGGGTCAGTTCATTAATCTGTTCAAAACTTATGAGTTTAATGATGGAGGATTCTGCAGTTTTTCTGCAGAATACACTATTATTTTTTTGCCATACATATTTAAAACCATTTTTTTTAAGGACCGTGCCTTATTAAATAAAATTCTTACTTCATATGGCAAGTCTTCGTTTATATTTATAAATTTTTTGATTTTCTCCCTCAATTCCAAGGTCCTCTGAACAAATTTTGCCTGCATTCTTTCTTTCTTCAAGAAGCTTGTCACGTTCTTCACTTGATTCTAATGTGATCAGTATAGGTTTTAAAGGGTTTTTACTTGGAATGGATTTGGTAGTAAAAGCACTGAAAATGTTCAATTTATTAAGAATCTTAGAAACATCTTGATTTATTTTTGTTTCTGTCGATGCTTTTATTCCAATTATGACAACATTTTTATTTTTTTCTTCATTATTTTCAGTGTTTTTAAAGTTTATTTTGGATTTAAGCATGGAAACTTCCTTACTTAAATCAGCATATTTCTTTTTCAATAATTCATTTTCCTTGCCAAGCTGTTTGTTTTCTTTAGCTACTGATTCCAGTTTTGTTTTAACTTCCTCTATCAAACAATTTGCAAAATTTAGGGAGCTATCCATCTCCCCAAACTTCCTGTCAAAATACTCTTTCATCTCTTGAAATAACGAGCTAGGTGTTTTTTTGCTTTTTTTCTTGGTAGGTACTTCTTCCGATTCTGAACTAGTATCCCTTTTATTTCTTACTCTAGTAGACTTCCTTCTGGTATCTTCCGCACTAGAGACGTCATTTTCAGATTCATATGATTGTATTCGTATTAGTCTATTGTTTTTTTTACTACACCGTTCACAAGTCCATTTTAATTTATCATTTTTCACTTTCTCGATATTTTCTTTACTTAGGCCGGTACAGGAGGCACTAAGATGTCGCCATTCTTTGCATTTGCCATTGCATTGAACTTTGTAGCCTTTGTGACCCATTGTGTTGTTACATTTGGCGCAGAGCATGCTGGATTTTTTAGGTTATGTCTGATTATTTCTTGAAAAAGGCAAAACCCCTCCAATATGCTGCTTCCCGTTTTTCCAAATAGCTTTCTGACACAAATATATGCTATTTACATTTACTTTTATCTCTATTTTCTCGATTTTTAACTAAGAAATAGAGACCACCTCTT